ATGCTGATAAACATTGTTTAGATAAAGCTTAACATTGATTATTTCCTCAGGACGAAATTCCTGAGTCTAGAAGTATGAGCATTTCTAACAACTAATAAAGGTATAATTGATACACAACAAACTGTACATATTTAAGGAACACAATTTGATGACTTTGGCCAGATGTATACAACTGTCAATCATCACCACAATCAAGGTAATGAACAAATCCTTCACCCTCAAAACTTTTCTCATGACTTTTGTAATTCTTCCCTATACTCCTCTGTGGCTGGGTCACGTGGTAGGTGTATGCTTTACTTTTTAAAAATTGCCAAACTGGGGCACCTGGGGGGCTCAGTCAGTTAAGCATCCAACTTCAGTTCAGGTCATGATCTCACAGTTAGTGAGTGAGTTTGAGCCCCACGTTGGGCTCTGTGCTGACAGCTCAGAGCCTGGAGCCTGCTTTGGATTCTGTGTCTCCCTCTCTCTCTACCCCTCCCTGGCTTGTACTCTCTCTCTGTCTTTCTCTCTCAAAAATAAATAAACACTTAAAAAAATATTAATTGTCAAACTGTTTTCCAAAAGAGTTGTGTAATTTTACATTCCATTATCAATGTATGGCAGTTGATTCACCAACAATTGATATGATCAGTCTTCTAATTTAGGCATTCTAATAGGTATGTAGTAGTATCTTGTTGTGGTTTTAATTTGCATTTTCCTAATGACTAATGACCTTTTTGTGTGCTTATTTGCCCATACATCTTCTTTGATAAAGTATCTGTTCAAATATTTTTTCTATTAAATTGGGTTGTTTTCTTATTGTTGAATTAGGAAGGTCTTTTTATATTCTGGATACAAGCCCTTTATCATATATGTGACTTGAAAATATATTTTCCTACTCTGTGCCTTGTCTTTTCAACCTGATAACAGTAGCCTTCAAAAGTCAGAAGCATTTAATTTTAATGAAGTCCAGTTTATTAACTTTTTTCTTTTATGGATCCTGCTTTTGGTATCACCGAAGAAACCTTTCCCTGTATAATGTCACAAAGATTTTCTACTACAGTTTGTTCTGAAAGTTTTATAATTTTAAGTTTTACCTTTATGTCCATAGTCATTTGGGGTTAATTTTTACAAATAGTGCAAGGTATGGATCGGAGTTTATATTTTTGCATAGTATATCCAATTGTTCTAGCATTATTGATTGACAAGACTTTCCTTTATCCATTGAATTGTCTTTACATTTGTCAAAAATCAAATGACTGTACATGTGTGTGTCTATTTCTGAACTCTATTTATTATCATTTTACCAAGACCACACTGTCTTAATTTCCATAGCTTTATAAAAAGTCTTGAAATTAAGTAGTGTAAGTCCTCCAACTTTGTTAATTTTTTCAAAGTTGTTTTGGCTAGCTTAGGTCTTTTGCATTTACATATGAATTTTAGAATAAGCCTGTCAATTCTTACAAAAATAGAGGCCCGCTGGGATTGCACTACATCTATATATTAGTTTGGAGAAAATTGACATTTTAACAATATTGAGTCTTCTGATCCGTAAGCATCATATATGGGTATATATCTCCATTTATTTAGGCCTTTTTTATTTCTCTCAGAAGTGCTTGTAGCTCTTAGTGTATAGACCTTGTACATTTTTTATTTGATTTATCTTTAAGTGTTACATATTTTTGAATCTATTACAAATGACATTGATTTTTAAAATTTCACTGTCCAATTCATTCCCATTATACAAAAACATAGCTGATTTTTGTATATGTATCTTCTAACTACTACCCTTACTTAACCCACTTATTAGTCCTAGTAGCTTTATTTTTTGTAGGTTCCATAGACTTCTCTACGTAAATAGTTATATTTTCTGCAAATAGAGACAATTTTACTTCTTCCTCTCCAATCTAGATACCCTTTGCTTTTCCAGATACTGGTTAGAACCTCTACTACAACATTAAATAGAAGTGATAAGGGTAGACATCTTTACCTTGTTCCTGACCTTAGAGAGAAAGCATTCAGTTATTTCACCATTGCGGAAGTCTTGAATGTGCATTTTCAAGGTTTTTAATAAGTATGGACTCCAGAAAAGTGCCATTTTACACCATATGCAGCAATGTCTGAGATGGTACCTTTTTCTACACTCTTGGCAACATTAGGCATTATATTAAAAAAATAAAAGTCTGCCATTCTTTTTTTAAGTTTGGTTATTTTGAGAGTGAGAGCATAAGCAGAGAAGGGGGCAGAGAGAGACAGAAAATCCCAAGCAGATTCTGTGCTGTCAGTGCAGAGCCTGACTCAAGGCTGTCTTACCAATCGTGAGACCTTGACCTGAGCTGAAATCAAGAGTCTGACACTTAACCAACTGAACTGCCCAGATGCCCCAAATGTCTACCATTCTTAATGTTATCTATTTATGTTTAATTTGTTTCTTTGATCATTAATGGAGGTTAGCATTATTTAATGTTTGTTGTTAGTTGTCAATGTCATCTGCTAATTTTATGATGGAGTATTCTTTCTTAATAATTTTATAGTAACATTTTAAAGGTCGCATATCCTTAATTAAATATATTTATTATATATGTCTGGCAATATTTTTCCCAATTTGCCTTTTACCTTTGTTTATGGATTTATTTTTTATATATACTATTTTTAATAGAAGTTTTTAGAGCAGTCTTAGATTCATAGCAAAATTAAGCATAAAGTACAGAGAGTTTCCATGTACCCCCTGCCTCCCCAGTACATGACCTCCCACTATCAATATCACATACCACCAATATCCCACACCACAGTTCATCATAACCAACGAACCTAGTCTACACTGACACATCACTATCACCCCAAATCCGTAGTTTACATTAGGGTTGACTCTTGGTGTTCTGTGTTCAATGGGTCTGGACAAATGTATAATTACATGTGTCCACTTTTACATTATCAGACAGAATTATTTCACTACCCTATAAATCTCCTTGTTCTTCCTATTCATCCTTCCCTCTTTTTGAACCCCTTCGCAATCACTGGTCTTTTTTCTGTCCTCATAGTTTTTTGCCTTTTCCAGAATGTCACATGGTTACAGTCATACAGCATGAAGCCTTTTCAGATTGTCTTCAGTAATATAGATTTAAGGTTTCTCATGTCTTTCCATGGCTTAATAGCGTGTTTCTTTTTAGCACTGAATAATATTCCATCATCTGATTGTATCACAGTGAAGTCTATCAAGTGCAGGACATTTTGGTTCCTTCCCAGTTTTAGTAACTGTAAACAAAGGGCTATAAACATCCATGTGAAATTTTTGTGCAGCCATATGTTTTCAGCTTATTTGGATAAATACCGAAGGGTGCAATTTCTGGATCATATGGGAAAGAGTATGTTTATATGGGTTTGTATTTTTTTTTTAATACACTAAAGCTTTTACTTTTTTGTTGACAAACCTGTCAACCTTTATCTTCATAATTTCTATTGGTTTTGACTAGAAAAGCTTTTCTCTTTCAAAATTTTATAAATCTTCACAAATACCTTCTTTGAGTAGTTCTATGGTTTTATTTTATTTTCACATTTCAATCTTTGTTTTGACATGAGAAGATATCTAAGTTCATTTTCCTTTGGCTTTCTTTTCACTTCCTTAGTTACATACAGCTTCCTCTAAATATTTGATCCACACAGCAACTCCGAAGAAGTTTCCACTTTTCAAACTAGGAAACTGAGGCAGAGAGGTAGCTCATTGCATTTAAGGCCACATAGCCATCAATATATGTAATCAGGATCCACACCGAGGTCTTTTGACACCAAGTCCTGTTCTCTCTTCACCACAGCCCTGGCATTCAAAGTATAGTCCATGGACAAGCAGCATTGGAAACACCTGGGAGCTTAGTAGAACCGTGGTCTGGGATCTCAATCCATACCCCTTACCACGAAATCAGAATCTGCATCTCTATCAAGTTATAGAAGTACTATCGTGCATCATATTTCCCCAAATTTAGGGTGCATCAGAATCACCTGGGAGCACTTGCTGCGCTCCATCCCTCCTCAATATTTTAACTCAGTGGGTCTGGGGATGATGACCTGAAATCTTCATTTTAACAAGCATCCCAGGTTATTCTTATAAGCAGGTGGTTCCATTGCTGACTCTTGAGAAATGCTCTAAAACAACTGAGAGATATTCCCAAACTGTTGCCTAGAACATCAAAAGTGATGGCTGATTATTTCTCCCTGTTTCAAGGTAGATACATCCTTTTAATCTGAAAACAGAGACAACTAAGAGATAACAGTAACTTTTACATGTCAACATGTGGTAATTAGGTTGTAATAACGAGGATGATGATTAAATCTTTCATTTTACAGAAAGTCCAAAAAAAAAAAAGGGAAACTAAGGGCGAAAGGCCTTCAGTCGATCCTGAATTTAGTGGAGGCAATGCGAAGGAGGAGAAAATCCACCCAAGTAGACTGGAATCTTCTTCCCCTTAGTCAAATATTGTCAGTATGTCCGTGAGTCAAGGTCTCTTCACTAATAAAATAAGTAAATAACATGCCAGCAAGTAGAAAGAACCTGTCTGTCAACTTTCTGAACTTTTGTCCCCAGTATCATACGCCTGGGAAGAGTAAACTTCCGAGGAGACTAAGCAGCTTCCAGAGGCTCGTTTTTGCCAGCTCAGATTTGCCCGGAAGCCAACGCCACCTGGCTTGAGGTGGGGCCCCGGCGACCTAAGGGAGCGCTTCCGAGACCCGTTTGCGCGCTGGGGCTGGGGAGACACCGTCTCCTCCGCCCAGTCCTACCGACCGACTCCGTCATCAATAATTCATTAAGAACCTCCTCCCCATTGGCCGCGGCCACCACCCCGCGCTGGCAGCGGCCCAATGAGGAAGGACTTGCGAGAGCCTTCTGAATAGTAAGCGAGCTGTCGTGACGCAGAGACCAGAGATTGGCTGTGATTGCGCGAGGCGGGGCCAGCTCGGGCGGCGGCGAGAGCGGCCGGGGCAGCTCAGTGCCAGCCGGGGAGGGTCGAACTCGGAGCGGGGTCTGAGCGCGGCGCCAGCACCGAGAGGGCGGGCGAAGCGAGCGAACCCGCGACGGGCGGACCGGCTGCATCAGGATGTTCAGCTGGTTGGGGCGGCAGGCTGGCGGGCGCGAGCGTGCGGGTGGCGCGGACGCAGTGCAGACGGTGACTGGGGGCCTGCGCTCGCTGTACCTGCGCAAGGTGCTGCCGCTGGAGGAGGCGTACCGCTTCCACGAGTTCCACTCGCCAGCGCTGGAGGACGCCGACTTCGAGAACAAGCCCATGATCCTGCTGGTGGGCCAGTACAGCACGGGCAAGACCACTTTCATCAGGTAACCCGCTCCGCCCGCCCCTCAATCCTGCTGGGACTCCTGCTCCTAACACCCAGGTGGTGGCAGTCCTCCCCAGGTGTGCGCGCGTTGTCACCAGCCTCCTGCCGCCCTCGGACATCCTGCAGCCCCCACTGCCCCTGTGCTGAATCCCCTCGCGGTTGCTTCCCACTCCAGCTCCGGCGTGACCTGAGGTTCCCGCTCCTAGCGCGGTGCCCGGGTGCCCGCAGCCTCGCCCTGGGGCGCGGCCGCCCCAGAAGGGGCTGGCTCTGCCCACGCGGGCAGGAAGGTCCCTGGAACCCCTTCTCTGTGTACTCCGAGCCCTCCTTCCCTGCTCTTGTTAAGGCACTCTTCTGGCTGGCTTTATCCTGTCACCCTGGCCTGGGGACCCGGGCAAGGGAGGGAGGAGAGCGAAGCTATAATAAGCATCTTTTTGATGAGCGATTGAGGCCTAGGGCTAGAAATGGGGACGGAGGTGTGAGGTATCAGAATGGGCTCTTGAGTCATAGTTGGAGAATTAAGCCCCCAGCATGACTATTGAATGAAGGAATGAATGAATGGCAACAGTAGACGATATTACCAGTGCCCCCTTCCTTTGAAGACCTTGCATGCCAACCCCCACCACATTGTTGGGGGCAGCCGGTAGAGAGGCTGCTTTCATCAGCTCTTGCACAGCCTCGCCTTTATCCGGCCATAGGAAGTTAGATGTGTGTAGCAGCCCCAGTTAGTGCCCAGTGGAACCAAGGGGAGTGTCATATTACTCTTCGTTAGTTTCCATTTCCTAGGTGGGCCATTCCCTCCTCCCTTGACAACTGAAAATATTTGTCACACTCGCTCTGTCTCTAAAAGCAAACAGTTACTGTGCATGCGCTGGGGTTCGAATCCTATAGCTTCCTCTGAAGTGATTTTTGTTGGGAAATAATTTACATGGAAACAAATTGCTTTTTGAAGAGACTGCGTTACTTCTAAAGCAGAAGTAAGATAATTTTAAGATTCACTTTCTTTGATTAGGAACCGTGTTTTCCGGGGTTAAACCTTGTGCCAGTTAAAACTAAACATGTAAGGTTTGGGTTTAGGGTTTGGGAAACTGTATCTCTTCACTATTGACGTTCAACAGGTGTTCAGAAAACTGCATCTATATTTGGTTATATGCCACTTCTATTAAATAGCGGCCTCTTTTTCTCCATTCCAGTGACCTAAATAGTTCCCACAAATAGAGTAGTTGTCACTACAGGAAATATCCAGACCTACAGATGCACTCTGAATGAATTGAGCAAAGCAAATATACTCTATTGAAGTATCGTTCTAGATAGTAAAGTGAATGTGAAGGAAGACTGAGGGAAATAATTTTAAAGTTGATTTATATGGTGCTTATTAATAAAGTGAAAATAGCAGTCAAGATATCACCCCAGACACTCAATCCTTAGAAATGTTACAGTCTCTGGTACCTTGAAATATGCCAAACCATACCTTTAATGTCTCAGTAATACTAACCAGTTTTTAAGTATATGGGAATATGAAGTATTGTGACTAAGTGGCACAAAAGTGGGAGGTGGGCCTTTTGAAATACACAGGTCAAGGATAAGAAGCTAGCATTGTTGTAATTACAATAATTGTGGACGTTAGCAGTGACATATACATAGCGCCCTGGGCAGTTCCTCCTGTCTCTCTCTGTCTTGGGGCTTTACTTTGCTGTGTGTGCTCAGGGAGCCCTGTTGATGCTGTTACCAACCTGGATGTGATGTGGCCATCTCTCTCTACTCTCATAGCCTCACTCTACTCTCTTCTTCATCATTTGAGGGGAGCTTTGTGGAATAGCTAAGCATAGTTTTAAGAAGGATTTTGAGATTTGGCTCCTGACCACATCATCCAAATGGACCACTTCTCAGTAGGCACTGGAGCTATGTGCAACCTCAGGGTGAGGGGGGAGTCACCTTACCGAGAAGTCACTTGTCTTTGAGACCTTCCTTCACCTAAGTGACTTTGTCCTTGGGCTGTGGGCATAAAGTGGATCTGTGAGGTTAGAAGGAAATCAAGGTGGACAAGAAGCTTGGTGAGGCACCAGGGACCTGAGTTTGGTTTCATAGTGGAGCTAGGAGGAAGAGATTTAACTCCAGGGAGGAAATCCCCAAACAAAGGTGCAGCTACCCTCTAGAACCTGCCCTGGAACTGGGAAGCAGAGGGTTGGCTCACGGTGCTGACCATCCCGGATCCTGTTTGAATCCATGGCTGTCTTTTCTCTGAAACTGGTCAGTGGCTGGGTTGTTTGCTTCTAGCCACTGAATACTAGAAGTTCATACTTGGCTTAGGAGGATTAGGAGGAACTTAATGGAGGACCGTGGGGGAGAAGAAGGGGGGAAATAGTGAGTGAGAGGGAGGGAGGCAAACCATGAGAGACTCTTGAATGCTGAGAACAAACTGAGGACTGATGAGTGTGGGGGGGAGGGGAAGAGGGTGATGGGCATGGAGGAGGGCACTTGTGGGGATGAGCACTGGGTGTTAAATGGAAACCAACTTGACAATAAACTATTAAAAATTAAAAAATTAATTAAAAAAAAGTTCATACTTGGCTGTGGGGTGCACTTATCTACATAGTGAAAGATTCTTATCCACTTGGCTTCCTGTATATCCCAAGAGGTCACTGGTAACACAGAGCCTGAACTGATAGGAAGGAAACTTCTCTCATTCTAAAGCCACTCAGCAAGGCTTTTGGTGTGCATTGCACACCTTTAATAAAACTGTACTCTTACTTCATTTTGTCCCATGACGGGAAAGCAGGAAGAGCTCCCCTAAAACATGGTGAGCCAGAACTTCATCTGGAGTGAGAAAACTAAATGTGTGCCTTGTTTTATTAAAAAGGTCTTCTGGATGGGGTGGATGAAGAGCCTGAGTGCCAAAAACTACACTTCTTTTTTGGATGTGTATGGAAGGAGATTTGGTTGACCCTCCTCACATGGATCACAAAACTGGCCCAGAAGGAGACTTCAGATGTGATGGAGCTATTTGTCAAATTTTCCTTGGGGTAGAAGCAGAGCAGCTGAAAAACCTATTGTCCTGCTGATAGTTTTATTTCTCAGAGGACAGAGGGTGCTATGAGAGAAACCATGGGTGCTCGATCTGCCTTTACCCAGCAAGAAAGAGTTGGCCAAAAAAGAAGAGACTGGCACAGGGGAAGGTGGCCATGTTGTCTAACACTACATAACAAGCAAGGAAGGGTGGATATTGGGCTCAGACTTGTATCCAAAATTTGAGGAAAACAGATTTCATAGATTCCCCTAGAAAATTCCTGGGCTCAGGTGCTATGAAGGAAGACATTTCCACTGAGAAAGTGTGAGGCTCACTGGAAATCAAGTCACATGGTTGTATATTTTGATTTTAAAAAGCTCCATTTTCTTTCTTGATCCTACACCCTATCACCTTTTCCCAGAACAATTTATTCTAATGAGGAAAAAAGAGAAGTCACTCAAGACACTGAATGGGCCTTGAAAGGGTAGAGCCCAAAGTAATTAGACAAGAAAAAGGAATAGAAGGAATGTAGATTGGAAAGAAGTAAACCATCTCTATTCACAGAGGATATGATCATATGTATAGAAAATCCTAAGGATTTAGGAAATGCTAAAAAAAAAAAAAACCTTTAAAATAGGGAATTCCACAAAGTGTTAGGGTATAAGATCAATATATAACTTCAGTTATATTTCTATGAACTAGCAATGAACAGTCTGAAGTTAAGAAAATAATTCCATTTATAATAACATCTAAAAGAGTAAAATATTTAGAAATAAATTTAACAAAAGTAATGTAAAACTTGTGCACTGGAAACTACAAAATTTTGTTGAATAAATTAAAGAAAACCTAAAATAACGACAACATCAAAACACAGGAAAGACATCCATGTGCATGGATTGGAAGACTTAATATTTTTAGAAGGGCAGTACTGCTTATAGTGATCTGTGACTCAGCGCATTCCCTACCAAAATCCAACTGCCTTCTTTACAGAAATTGACAAGCTGATCCTAAGATTCATTTGGAAACATGAGAGATCCAGAATAAACAAGACTATTTTTTTTTTTTTGGTTTCTCTGCACCTGCAGTGTGATTTTTTTTTTAAATTATTTATTGTCAAGTTGGTTTTCATGTAACACCCAGTGCTCATTCCAACAAGTGCCCTCCCCTATGCCCATCACCTCTTTTCCCCTCTCGCCCAACCCCCTCAACCCTCAGTTGGTTTTCAGTATTTAAGAATCTCTTATGGTTTGCCTCCCTCCCTCTCCTTATCTATTTTTTCTGTCGTCTGTTAAGTTTTTCCTGTTTCATATATGAGTGAAAATATATGGTATCTGTCCTTCTCTGTCTGACTTATTTCACTTAGCATAACACCCTTGAGTCCCATCCACCATGCTACACATGGCCAGATTTCATTCTTTCTCATTGCCATGTAGTATTCCATCATATAGATAAACCACATCTTTAGACAAGACAGTCTTGAAAGAGAACAAAATTGGAGTTCTCATACGTCCCCACTTCAAAGCTTGCTACAGAGGTACAGTAAACAAGACAGTATGATAGTAGCATATGGATAGACATGGAATGACAATAAAATCAAAAGTCCGGAAATAAACCCGTATGTCTGGTAAATTTGTTTTTCCAAGGGTTCCAAGACAACTCAATGGGAGAAAGAACATTCTCTTCAGCAAATGATGGTGGACAGCTGGCTATCCACATTGCAAAAGGCATAGAGAGGGATGGCTAATGGGAACAGTGTTTCTTCTTGGGGTGATGAAGATGTTCTGAAATTAGATAGTGGTGTTAGTTGCACAACTTTGTGAAGATACTAAAAGCCACAGGATTGTACCCTTTAAAAGGGTAAGTTTTATGGTAGTACATAAATTACATCTCAATTAAAAGTAGAAAACAGGGGTGCTTGGGTGGCTCAGTCAGTAAAGCGTCCGACTTCAGCCCAGGTCATGATCTCATGGTTCGTGGATTTGAGCCCCACATTGGGC